CTCAACTGAAGAATGGATAGAGACTATGTCTTATGTTATAAAATGGAAGTTATAAGATTTAGAGTATATGAAATCACCTCCTTCAATTGGGCTGGGTGCTGGATGGGGGCTGGTTGGAGGGACAAGGGAGGAGAGGTGGGTTAGGGAGCTGGGACTGACATTTGAAGCATGCATGTTTCTAATTTAAATAAAAACATATATTGAAAAAAGATTAGAGACTGACACTATTCATTCAATTACTATACATCTTATTCATGAAATGCATCCGTATCACTGAACAGATACTGTGTAGGGATGATGGTTAAGATTACCTTTAATTATCTTAAGTTTATTCCATTCCCAAAGGCAGAAATCCTTTTGACATAATGCTTCTGGGGAAGCAGATTTAGGATTTCCTCACTAATGTGTAATGCATTGTACTTCTAAAGGAAAAGCACATGTAGTTACAAAAAATGCCCAATTCTCTTTTCTTCTCCCCCACCTGAACTCTTCCCCATACATCCACACTGGTAATACGTATCAGGAAAAATGTCCATAGGGACACAAATAGCATTAGATTTATGAATTTGGAGCAACATTACAGCCAGCCAGTCAGCAAGCAACCAGCACTGGAAGTGGGTTGCAATCTTGTACTTAGTTGTGCTACAACTCCTTCATAATAAAATAGCAAATTGAAGTGATTTTCAGACAGTGTGGGAGACCAAAGGGAAATGTTTCTGCCTCCAGTAAGCACAGAAGGCTATTAATGAGCCATGTCTGGCTCCCCCACCACGTAGTGCATTCAGAAACTGCCTGCTTTCTGTGTGCACAGAGGCTGCGATTATCAAATTCTAAAGCAATGGTTGGAAAAATGACTTAGCTTTTCAGAATTTATGGAACACACACACACACACACACACACACACACACTTATATATTTTATTTGTGGTCTGCAAGGAGAATTGAGTGCTTGCTGTTGACATGAGTTTATACAGTACCCTCTGAGCTCCTGGAGAAGACTTATGATAGCAAAGAGGGAACAGGATGTTAAAGAAGGGCCATAGTTGTCTTCATTCTCATTTTTGTCTTTTTGCATTTTTTCTATGTAGTCCTAGATGGCATTTAACTCATGGTAATCCTCTTGCCTCAGCTTCTGAATTGCTGAAATTACAGGTATGAGCAATCATGCCCAGATTCTTCTTGTATTTTAATCGAGTAAGTTTCTTTTTTTGAAGAAAAATCCAGCATGCTTATAGACTTTTGAAAGTATTTGTAATATTTTCTTTAAAAGACACTTTAATTCATATATCTACTTCTACGATTTGCTATCTTAAACTTAATAATTTTCCCTTGGAATTTATTCATTGTACCTAGTACTGGGTTATATAAGGACAGTTTCTTACAAGTATGTAATGTCCACTGAACCTCAAATTCCCTTGTGTACTCCTCTTTTCCTCCCTTCTCTTATCAGTTCCATCTCCCCCTAGACAGCTTTATATCGGCTTTTATTTCACATATACAGATATGATTTTATGTATCTATGTAGAATCTAGGCTATATATGTCTGAATATGAATGTTCCCTGTAGGCTCATATATTTGAATGCTTAATTATGAGGGAGTGGCACTATTTGAATGGCTTTGAAAGATTAACAGGTGTGGCCTTCTTGGAGAACTGTGTCTCTGGGGGTGGACTGTGAGGCTTCAAAAGTCCATGCAAGCTCAGAGTTCCTCTCTGCCTATGGCTCAGGATGCATTTTTCAGCTTCTGCTCCAGCATCTGCCTGCATGTTGCCATGATGGTAATGGACTGAACCTCTGAAACTGTAAGAAAGTCACCATTTAAATGCTTTCTCTTATAATAGTTGCCTTGGTCATGGCATCTCTTCCCAGCAATGAAACAGGAACTAAGACATCATATGAGAGGAAAATGTGATATTTGTCATTCTGAAATGGCAACTAATTTAATATTATTATTATCTAATTTTCTGCACATAGCATACTTCCTTCTATATAACTGAAAAAGCTCCAATGGCTATACACACCACATTTTTTTTTTTGGTTTTTCGAGACAGGGTTTCTCTGTATTGTTTTGGAGGCTATCAGTCCAGCCTAGCCTCGAACTCACAGAGATCCGCCTGCCTCTGCCTCCCGAGTGCTGGGATTAAAGGCGTGCGCCACCACCGCCCAGCTATACACACCACATTTTAGCTGTTCTTTTGTTGACAGACACATAATGTTAGTTCTATTACTGAGCTATTTTGAATAGTGCTGAACTAAACACTGATGTGCAAATATCCATGTGCTATATGAATTGGAGTCCTTCAGATAAATATTCAGGGGGTTGAGTGGGGTTATATGGTGATTCTATTTTCAGGTTTTTTTTGATTAACCTCATATTGCCTTCCATAGATGCTGGATGAGTCTATGTTCATTTCAGCAGTGTATGAGGGGTCCCATTCTGTCCACACCCTTCCCATCATTTGCTATTTGTCTTCTTTATGAATGACATTATGACTGGGATGAGATGGAATTTTTAAGGTAGTGTTTATTTACATTTCTTCAATGACTAGGGATAATATGTTTATTGGCCATTTGTAATCCTACTTGAGAGTCGTCTCTTTATTTCAGTAGCCCTTTGGTCAAATGAGTTATTTGACTTCTAAATCTTTTAGAATTCTTTGTGTATTTCAATGATATAATTTTTACTCCAGTGAAACATGCATATGCAGAGGCAATACCTGCCAGGTGCAGAGTTGACAGTGACTTACAAGGAGAATCAAATATCTATTTAATGAAGGGAACTCACAGCATAGAGTCACACTTTTGGAGTAATGAAGACTTATGGGTGGACCTTATCTTATAAACTTTACAACAGTCACTAAAGTTCTCTTAACAACTGCAGCAGGTAACTATACACATGGACGAGAAGAGACACAGGAAAGCTGCCAGTATGTCTAAGGACCCACAGCCAGTACAAGACAGAGCTAGAATTAACAGACATAGGCATCCATATTCTCACAGTAGTATTAATACTGTTCATCATCAATTAAAGCTTCACTTCTTCCTAGACTGTCAGATACCTACATGGTGTATAATTAGAGCTGAAAAATGGTGATTTTAGAAAGTCAACTCATGAAACATATCATTTATAAGCATGTGCATAGGATGTCATATATTTTAATTATTGATTCTTTATACGTATTATTATTTATTTCTTGTTCAGTAGAATAAAAGGTACATCTGAAACTAGTATTTTCCACCTAATTTTCCTTACCAGTCTAATTTTCAGCAGTAATTTATTTTGAATGACTGCTACATTGTTTGCTGCTGTATTTTGCTTTGGGTACTTGTTACAAAAAGTATAAAACCAACCTACACCAAACATTATTATATAGTGAGTCATTTAATATATATAAGATCAAATATGCTTTGGACAAAAATAATGAAAAGACATAAATGTACATGATGTACATGTATTTTACATCTTGTAGGTGGCCATGATGAATTATTCTCAAATAATTTTGAGCATTTACAGGTAAAATGAGCATATATTATAAAGCAGAATACTCTGAAATAGACACAGCCAAGAACAAACAGCTCATCTTCTCAACCTATGAATTTCATTTTGCCTTAAAGAGCACACTTTGTTAAGAGTGTGTGCTGTGGATGTAGCTTGTATTTATTACAACCTAGAGATGCTACTGAATTCAGCTCCAGAGGTTGAATCTGGACATCAAGCCAAGTCACAGGATGGATAGACCATCCCCACCAGCATTGTGAGCAGTTGGAAGAAGGGGGCAGGAATCAAGGGAAATAAGAGGAAATGAGATCAAGGGAGACAAACAAGATGCAAGTGGAAAATGTCTAAATATCACAGGACAGAAAATAAGGTGAAAATACAAAGAAAGACTATGAATTCTAAGTGGAAAAAAACAACTTAGCCATTTCATAAACACAGATAATACTTATGCCTTTAGTTGGATGTATTAAAGAGTGTACCATTGTACAAATGTGTCACCTCTCCTGGGGATAAAAACAATTACTTCAGTGAATATTTTTATACTTCATTTCATTTTTCACTATCAATGTGCATTTTCCAAGCATATTGTGGCACTTTCAAAATTTAACATGTGATGAATACACTTTGAAAAACAATATTGAGACTCTCTCAGGTTTATTTTATTCCACTATATATATTCATGCGAAGTCACCTTAAACAGAATGAGTTTTAGGTTTTTATTCTAAAAGAGATTACTGCTGAAGGAATTTTATTTGTTCTTTTACTCTTTTTTTATAATTTATTTTCCAGTTTATATTTAGCTAAGAAACAAGGTTGCTTCACAATCAGTTCCAGGTCCCTCTCCCATTCCCTCCCCTCCTCCCGTGCCCTCCTCCCAACCCCCCCCCCATTATCCCCTCATTCCCCCAGGGAGGGTGAGGCCCTCCATGGGGGTGTCCATAGTCTGTCATTTCATATAGGGCAGCGCCTAGACCCTTCCCCAAGAGTCCAGGGTGAGAGTGCACCTCACATTGTTCTATGGGAGTCCAAAGTCCGTGTGTATACTTGGGATGGGTACTGATCTGCTGCCCAAGGTGATCATGAGGCACAAAATTGGTGGAATTTTGGTAAATGTACAGCAATGTAAGGGATCAGCATTTTAGAAAATACATAAAATATCATACTGAAGAGGTAAATGTGATACTGCTTCATGAATGGCTATAAGTGGCAATGGAGTTTTATTTTTACTTCTTAATTGATAGTATAGTCATTATATATATTCATTTATCACTAGTATGACAAGTAAATTTGTGGTAGACATCAATGATATTATGTGTACACCCTGTCCCCTTAGTACTGCTCTATGGCGTCACAGAGCCAGAGAAATAGACCTGGTGAAAATGCTGCCATGCTCCACAGAAAGCCCACGCATAACATTATATAAAAATAATCCCTGATAAATGATGTCAAGTATAGGTCTCAGAATAGCTTATTTAAATGACACCAGAAAAGAACATCTCACCCGCAAAAATGAGTCAAGGGATCCATTCTCCATATACTCTACCACGATCATTACCGGCCGGCCTACAAGAGAGCAAGAAACACACACCATTAGAGAAATTGCAGAGAGATGTGCTGCAGGTAAGGCTTTCCAGCTTCAGTAACCACTATCCTGTTTTGTGAAAGTGTATTCATATATGCATCTCTCTTTCCCCACCCAGCATTATTTCTTTCTCAGTTCATAAAGGGACATGGGTTACAATCTGAGTTACAAAAGAATTAAACATATTTTAAACATGTCTTGTGATTGCTTGTATAGATTGTGGGGTTTCTTTTGTCCTCTAGTTTTTCCATAAATGACAACCAGGACACTAAATGCATCATTAAAGCAGTCACTGCTTCTATTTTGACAGTTGTGGCACATCTTCCATGATGTTGTGGCACATTTCCCCCCTTACTTATATTATAGTGGGCAGTTATGAAATTATTTCTAAATCAGAGCAGAAAGGAGAAATTCATAAATCTTCTTTGACTACTTATGAAAGATCAGACATAGACTGCTTTTAAGGGATTTGAAGCAGAATAATTTTCGGTAGATTGATGAATATCCCATGCTGGGTTGGATCTGGACGCATGCCTGGTCATCTCTTTATTGGACACAGATTTGATCAGCAGAGGGCCGATGGCAATGCATGAGAAACAGGTAACTCTGAGTTGTACTCTAGTGCAGAAACAAAGATCAGAAACTGAGCATCACTTACTTCCCCTTTTATCACACCAATTGTTACAGTTCCCAATACATCTCTATTAGGTAGAATATTTGACATAAATAACTTTGATATGTTTCAAAGAAGGGAATGTATTTGCTCTCTCCGATTGCACAGGCTTAAAAGATAAAATTTCAATTGAGTGGAAAATGATATTTACCTGAAATAGGAATCTATCAATGCTTACTTTTTCTTTCTACATTTTATTTCTGATTAGAATTCTTGATGATTCAATCGGAATGGCACACAGCTATTTTTATAACACTCCAAAAACTGATCTGGAAAGAAACTGTGCCAATGCCAATGATGAAAATGTTGGACTCGTAAATAAAGCCTTTTTTCCTGAACTCAAAGCCTTGCAGGTTAGAAAGGGTAGCCATGATAAATTGCTTCAATGTATGCAAATGCTAGATTTTACATTTGAATGTATATTTTAAAGAAAATGAGCTAAAGGTTAAAAGGTGAAATAAAGCTCCCATTTTATCATGCATTGAATTCAAACCTAAGGAATTTTTCTATTTAGAGAGAATATTAACCTATGCTCAATAACGCCCCTTAAAGCTATTAATCTTACCCATAGGGACAAAGAACTTTATCGGCAGTTGTAGAGGCGAGATGAACCGTCAGCACTCTCACAGAAAGGGATCAAGAAGACCTCAAAATTTGTCATTGTTTCAGAGAACCAAGAGGCAGCAATCTAAGACCAAAACTTAGGTAGGAAAGTGGGGGAAATCCAAAGCTATTTTGTACCTCAACACCAAATTCTGAGCAAATATTTAATTTAGAATGGTAGTGGGTTATGAGTACTTAGGAGGAATAATGCTGAGTTGCTGCTATGGGTACCTGATTATGCCCCCTTTGTCTTTATACCTCTGTAATAGCTCCCAAGTATTGCTGTCAAGTGTTCATTTTAAAGTATCTATTCCTCAATAATGTGAGTTTTGTTAGAATCAAAGAGCTTGTAAACACTCCCTTTTATTGCTACATCCCTATGACACAGATAAAGAAATTGAGGGATAGAAAAGTAAAGTATGTTTCTTGAGTCAAAATCCAGTAAGGAGCAACATTAGTCATCCTGTCTGGTGTTTCAGATTGTTGAACACTTACGGTATGTCTGCATTTCAGAAGAGATGAGTGGATCATATCTCTAAGTTTAGTCTGGCTAACCATTCTCTCCAGTGAAGGATGCTTCCTAACCAACCTCCCTACCCTTAACTCTACCAGCTGTCTTTCATTTTCACTTGTTCAATTCTGGCTTCTGCCTTCCATTTTGCTATTCACCAGTCAGAGTTATTTCTCAACTTTCTCCTCTCTGCAATACCCCCATAATGTGTCACACATCCAGAATTTATATACTGTATATCCTTGCAAGCCTTCATGCTGATGTTTGCAACAGATCCCATCACTGCCATTGTGTATGCTGTGACATGCTCTGCTTGACCTTTGTCTTGCTTTGTCCTTTTCCTGCACAGACTTGTAGTCTCATTCACTGGGTTTCTCATGGTCAATTCCTATAGATATGAGCATGGCAGGTGCTTTACAAAATTATGTTTTCTTACTGATTTCATTATCCTTATGAAACTAACACTGAATTATTTCAGCAAGATTTCTAACTGTGTGAATACAAAGTACTTGGGGCATAGTTCTATCTACAACTCTTTAGTAGGTACTTTTGGCAGTCTTAAAATCCATCAGTGACAAGTTTCACTTCTCATTTAGCATAATGAGGAATTAGATGAAGATTCCCCCAGTTTCTTCTGAATTAGAAGCTCCATTTAGCCATTCTTTTGCATTTTATGGAGAATTCTCAGTTGAGAGTGGCTGATCTGAAGGATTGTGTTTTCTCAGACCACTGTCAGAATTTAATCTGCAATTTATTTCCTAATGATTTTCTATAGGAAATATGTAGTTATAAAATGTGAATGTCAAAGACAGACTTGTGGCCCCTTATTGCATTTGTGAAACAAAATACATAGGAATAAGGGAACTTATGAAAATTTGGATGCTATTCTTTAATTCTATTTTAGGTGAGTGAGGCTTTTTGGTACACATTCCTTTTTTGACTTGCTTTTTCAATATGCACAATTACATATGTAAATCATATATCATATATTCTAAGAGTATGACTGCTCCTAGAAGATATACTTGGAAGTAATTGATTATTTTTCTAAATTTTCAAAAATATCTGAGATCATTTCCTTTAGTAAATTTTAGTCTGTTGGCCCAAATGCCTCAGCATCATCCTAGTGACTGAATTGGGCTAAAGACAATGAGCACACTCCAGGATGCTTTAACAGAAAGTTCATTGGTTTGACGTTAAATCTCCCAAGCTACCCAAAGTTATTGTTTTCAAGTGCATAAAACCATAAATAACCAGATGTTATGAATAGTCTTAACTACATAAGAATCAAAGTCTGAGAAATTACTTTATATTCTGAAGATGATCACAGAATTCCTTTATCATCCTTTTTCTATTATAGACAACAATAACTGTTTTCTTTCAGTTGGAATTTTAGGGAACATATATATATATGTATATATACATATGGACACATATGCTTATACATATTTGCATGTATTTGATTATATATACATATTCAAATACTTCCCAACACCTATAATGACTTTGCTAACAGAGGTATGCAGGATGTATATGATCATAAGACTCTACTATTCTCATGCTGGTATTAAAGAAAAGAAAACAAAGGCATCCTTTAACTTTCTTGTAAAAACCTCAGAGGAATACTCTGCTGGTGAAACAGGTTTTCTTCGGAGCATATTTGTGAAAGTCAAGGATTACAGAGATTTGCCTTTTTTATATAAGTAATGAGTCTGTGATGGATGTGGTGTTTTGAATCAGTTCAGCAATTTCTAATGTGTAGCCAGTAAAATGAAGAATCGAAACAAATCTCAACAACCTCAGAACTCAATTACAGATTTAAATCATTCTAGTTTATTTAACATTCGATCATGTCTATATTTTGTCTACCAGGTTATAAACTTGCAGCAATAACTTTCATTGACAGAGTGCCAGTATTCTTTCTACCCACATTCAATTCACTACTTTGTATGCCAGTTATTTCATCTATTTCTTCCCTGCCTCTTTTATAGATAGGGAATTAACATTACAATCTCCTCTGGGTTTGAAAATAAATGAAATAATTTTCTTATCCATGTAATGCTTTCCACAGATATGGGTAATATAGATCTGAAAAGATATAATGCATTAAATTACTGTTTTTATTCACATGATAACTATCAACTGTTGCTTGGTAAGTATCAGAACCTCTCCCAAACAATACTCATCCTCAGTGACTTTGAATCTTATGTTATTTTAAATTTATAAATGAAAATTTAATTTATTTTTAACCTAAAACTTTAATCTATTTCTTGTGCTTGAAAATTACACACCTATCAGATACTATGTGATGTTTCAATACACACACACACACACATTGTACAATATTTCAGTAAGGATAGATACCTATTTCCTCAAATCTTTTAATTTTTCATAGTTGAAACATTCAAATTTACTTATCCACATTTTGAAAGATACTGTACATCATATTCCCTCTGCTGTGCTCCTGTGTAATTTGCTGATCAACCAACCACTCTTACTCATCACAAATTCTGGTGATCACCATTCTCTCAGCTGCTCTGAGATATACCAGTTCATATTGCACATTGGAGTGGGAGAATGCAGTATTTATTCTGTTTAACACAGTGACCTCTGACTCCAGTTGAGTCAGTCACCACAATTTGTAACCCTTCCCTATGGGAGGACTCTTTCAGGCAGTGGACTGGAAGTCATTCATGTTATCCTTCAGCAAAGGATATCTGCATTCTGTCTGTGTCCTGAAAATCTTAATGAAGCTAAATTAAAAAATAATGAACTGTGTTGTTGGAGGGAGAAAGTTTCAAGGCCGCATATTATCTGTGGTTACTGCTCACTGCTCATAGATTTACAGTTCGAGAGAGCAGAATGAAGCGTAAAAATGTGCAGTTTGGCAAGTAACAGAATGTGAGTTAACTTCAAAGTTGCAGTAAAGGCAGGTGCAGACAACGCATTTGCAATTTGTAACTGTTAAAAAGAATAGCGCTATTACTGAGCACAGAGTTATACTGGGGCAATTGGGAGAGCACCTTGATTGCAAAGCTCCATCTATTTCAAGATTCTGCACATGAGTACAAATTCATTAGATAATAGAATACCTAAAAAAGAGTTTAGAACATGGCTAGAAAATGGCTTCCTAGGGAGGCATTTTCCCACATTCAGTCAGGAAGGTACAGCATACTAATGCAAATGTAGTCTAAGTA